GCGCCGCCCGCGGGCGACCCGGCCGCCGCCGCGGCTGCACAGACCCTGGGCGCCGGGTGCTGGTGTTGGTGCAGCTGCTGCTGAAGGTGCAGCTGGTGAAGCTGGTGCAGCTGGTGTCGGGCAGCAGGCTCGCGCACCTCCGCATCCCCACCACCGCCAAGTTGGAGCGGGCCGAAGTCGGCCGCGCTGGCCGGCATGCTTGGCGCCGCGTACGCGAGGTGCTGGTGCTGGTGGTGGGGCGGTTGCTGCTGTTGCTGCTGCTGCTGCTGGCGCCGGTAGAGCTCGGCGTAGCGTTCGCTCAGGTAGAGCTGGCGCGCGTTGCGGAGCACGTAGGACACCAGGAGGTTCTTGTGCAGCTTGATGCCACCGCGCTGGGTCCGGGAGCTGTGGATCTTGCGCAGGGAGATGCTGATCAGGCTCTGGGCGTCCAGGGCGCACTCCATGCTCCCGCGGAGACGGCGGCGGCAGAGCAGCCGCCGCCGCTGCTGAAGCTAATACTGCTGCTTGTTTTACCTTCTCCAGTCGGTTGCTGGGACTCGCTGGACAAGAGGATCAGAGCCCGGGTCAGCGGGTCGGCTGCGCTCCCAGAGGCGCCGCCACTATGCGCCGCGCACCACCCATAAGCTCCTGCTCCCCAGACGGCGCCAAAGCAATGAGCTTCGGCCGGCCCCGGCCCCAGCTATTTAGCCGAGTGCTTGGGCCCCGCCCCACATTGGATAGACCATTAGAAATGCTCATAGCTTCCCGAATGACAAGTGGTGCCCGCCCCAGGGCCACCTGGTTGCCCAATCAGACCAAGGCGGTTCCTTTGTGCTATTCAAATACCGAACGGACCCCGGGCCGCCAACGCTGCCGCTGCCTCGAATGTTCTCTTGCTACCGCGGCGCCGCGCGGGACTCAGAGCTGCCGGGGCTGCCGTCAGCAAGGGTCCTCTTACTGTAGCCGCATTGGAACCTGCAGCTTCCCTGACATTGGCTCGTGGGAGCCAGGGGTCGACTCACCTGCTTGCGGCGGCGACTGGCTCCTCCCTCTTCCGAGCCAGCGGACCTCACCTGGCGCAGGTGCGCTGCTTCTTACTCCTGGCCTGTGGCGCCACGTCTTTCTTACCTACAGCCCCCGGGGTGACCTGCGGAATACAAGACTTTTGCTGGAGGCTTACGGTGCTATTCTATTGGCAGTGAAGGTTTTTTGAGGAGAAAGGTTTAAGAGTGCCCTCAACATCAGAGAATGATGAAACTAACACCCAACTTTTTCACTGAGGGGCCACAAGAGATGCCAAGGACCATTCTTCTCATTGTCTGACTGGAAAACCCAAAATATCCTGAGTGTTGGTCTCATCTGATAGAGGCAGGCCTTCAGGGTGCGAGTGGGTCTCCTCAACTGGCTGCAAAGGCGTTTTGAGAGACTAGAGTTTCCTAAGCCTCACTTCTATAATTATACCTTTCCTGCTTAACGAATAATGGCAATGCTGTTGCTAATTATCATCAAGTAGAAACCGACCCCTGGAGCTTACCGTCCAGTGGGTTTTCAGAGGCAATAAATGTCACTGGAGGAGACTGCCCATATTTCTCCCTCAGAGAAGCTGGTAGATTTGAACCATGCACCTTTGGGTTGGTAGAGCAACGCCTTAGCACTAAGGCACTAGCATTCCCTAATAAGTTCCTGCAAGAAGTTCCAATGCCCTAAATTCCTCACTATAAGAGTTTGCAGAGAAGCCCGGGGCTTAGAGAAGCAAGAGACCTTTAGGGAGTTCATAGCCTGTACACGGCAAAGCTAGCTTTTTGCCAGGTTTGTGAGTTCCAGAGAAGATACGAATATTAAGAGTTGAGGAACTCTCAATTTTAACATTTGTTATCATTATCCTGCTTCCTTACCTTGAGCCATTTGTGGGTCAAATAGTCCTAGCTGGGCACTGAAACCATAGGGACAGAGAGGGACAGGGTGAAGGATGCCTGAGGCTGTCAGTCTGGAGAAGGAAGTTTAATGGGGTGGCTTCTGCTCTGGGAGGCAATTGTCCAGGGAGCTTTGCAGGGCTGCTCGGGCATGCTACAGGTTTCATGTGGATTATGAGAGAGAGATCTGCGGGGGTAGGAGGAGACACCACAAGCCAACTAACTTCCTCTTGTTTCAGCCTCTCCTCAGGGTCTCCTCTGAGACTATCCCATCTCCTGGCTGTTCTCTCAATGCTATGCTTGTTCCTTAGGAGGATCGAGCCTCCTTTTAAATGTAAGAATTTAAGATTTATTTTCTCAAACAATTTCCCCCACACCCCTTGGTGTCAAGACTCAAGGATGAAAACAATGTTAGGGAGCAGGGTCCTTTATTCAGATGAGGAAATCTGGATGCTGATGACATTAGTGACTCAAGGTTACACAGCTCCATGTTCATACTCTGCTCTCTGTCCTTTCCTAAGAAGACCCTCAGACTGGTTTGAGCTCCTGTACTTGGTTTGAGTGTTTCTCCCTGCCCTTACCCCGGAAAACTAAGGAGAGTTCAGAGGAAGGGCATCTCACTTTGATTCTACTGGTGATTTTATGACATTATTGAGTACCAGCCAGCCAATGCCAACTCATAGCAACTTCATGTGATGTTGTTATTAGATGCTGCTGAAGTCCACTACCATTCGTAGCGATCCTATGAACAACAGATCCGAGCCTTGCTTTATCTTTATCATTGCTGATGTCAGATAGACCTTGATTGAAAGCATAGCATATCAGAAATATGTCTTTTTTGGTTTTATTGACTATGCTGATCATAACAAATTATGATTGACACCAAGAAGAATGGAAATCCCAGAACACCTCATTGTAGTCGTGAAACCTAGACATAGACTAAGAAACTGTTGTCTGAACAGAACAAGGGAAAACTGACTACATGGTTTAAAATCAGAAAAGGTTTATATCAGGGCTGTATCCTTCTTCCATACCACAATCTGTATGCTGAGCAAGTCATTGGAGAAGCCATACCATGTGAAAAAGAGTGTGGTATCAGAATAGGAGGAAGACTCATCAACCCCATGTAGTACCCAAACCAAATCCGTTGTCATCAAGATGAGTCTGGCCCATGGCAGCCCCTGTATTGTGTATGCTCCTCAGGGTTCTCTTAGCTGAAATCATTAGAGAATCAGATCACCACGCCTTTCTTCTGCACTGCTGCCAAGTGAGTTTGAGCCATCAACTTTTTCATTTATAGTCAGATATATAAACTGTGCCACCCAGAGACACATAGGGCTGTGAAAATTGCTCATGTGGCAGTACATATAGGAATAATAATAATAATAATAATAATAATAATAATAATAAACAACCCCTTCTTATTTCCCTTTTGGATCAGTTGTTAGTTTATTTCTGAAGCTTACCTTGAAGTCGTCACTAGCATGAGACGGTGGGGAGTAGCAATCTTATCCTGTGTTCCAGCTGTGAGGACTCAGAATGCAATAGTCCAGCCTGAAAGCCACAGTGTCTAACACATCGCAAGTGCCCAAGAATGTATCATTAATGCTGATTTCAAGCATCCTGTTCTTGCCCAGTGTTTACTGGATAAAATGAGACAGATTTTGTGTATATTGGCCACAGTCAAACTCTCAGGAAGGACTAGAATCAGGATTTGAACTCACAGCTATCTGTTTCTAGTACCAGAGCTCTTAGCTGACCCTCCAGCAGGTTTTCAGAGGCAGTAAATTGCATGGGAGGGCAGCTTTGTCTCATGGAGCAGCTGGTGGATTTGAACCAGCTGTCTTTGTGTTGACAGTGCAACTCCATACTTACTTAGCTATCAGGGCTCCTCCTAGGTTCTTTGAAAGCAGCCACTTGTTTTCCCACTTGATGGTACTGAGTTCAGTTCTCATTCTCAGGACCTGAGTCACACTGGTGGTGAATGTGGCTCTGATTTGATTAGGTCTCCTCATTTTCTGGCAAACTCCTCTGAGACTGGGAGCTCTAGTGGTATAGTCTGTAGTGAGTTGTGCTGCTAATCCAAAGGCCACACCCTCTGGCAGTTTTAATTTACCAGCACATCTGAGGGAGAAAGACGAACAATCCTTCCCATGTCAGAAACCTGCTAGAGGATCAGCTAAATATCAGTTCCAACATGACAGCAATAGATTTTAAAGTTTTTGTTTTTCACTCTGGGACCAGCACTTACAGGATCTTGTCCATAAAAAAAGGCAAATATCAGACCCAGTCTCAGCTTCCTTATAGAGCTGGCCATAGGTCTGGTGGTGGCCTTGTGGTAAGGAGTTACACTGCCAGCCCAAAGGCAGGCAGTTCAAATTCACCATTAACTCCTCAGGAGAAAGATGGACAATCTCCTCCCATGTAATTTACAGCCTCTGAAAGCCCACTGGAAGGGAGGTGATGAGTTGAGTTGGCAGTCATTCCTTATAACATGCTCTGGGGGTACAAGTAGTTCTCACCGTGGGACGGGAGTATTTCCAGTTGCAGGCAGATGGGCAAGGAAGCAGGTCACCTCCCCTGAAAGCTTGTCATCGCATCTCCAAGCCTCCTGCTCGATTTCTGCCACAAAGTCAGTTTTGAGCTCTGCTAAGGTTCTCTTCCTCTCCCCCTCCATGGTGTAACTAGCTAACCTGTTTGACTGCTTTTTAAAAGTTGAGAATTCGAGTCTATCCAGAAGCTCCTCAGAAAAAAGGCTTGGTGATCGACTCTGGAAAATGAACCACTGAAAACTCTATGGAGCAGTTACACTGGGTCAGAGCTCTGAGTCAGAGCTGACTCTGTGACAATTAGTTTTAAGGTCTCTTTACTCCCTGGGGCCAGCTGAGGTGTGACTACTTTCTCTTGTCCTTCTTACCTGAGGCCTCATGCTTTTGGCCTTCTTCCTAATAAATGAGAGGTGGGTTAGTACAGAGGGCTAACCAGTTCTCTAGCTTAATAAAAACCCTTGATCTTTTTTGGGGTGGCCTAGGAGGGGGAGAACTGCCACAGCTGTTGTAAGAAAATACTCGCTGAAAGGGACCCAGAAACAACTGTGCTGTGTGGCACCCCAGGGGGCAGTGTGACTCATGGGCACATAGTAGGAATTCACAAATGTTTCTGGAATGGGTGAGCTGCGTATGAGACATCTGCTCTCATGCACAAGGATTTCAGCAGCCTGTCCAGGTCCCTGGCTGTGAACTGGAGTGTGAGTGTCTCCATGCACGTCCTGTGTTAGAAGTGGAGTGCAGGGGGTCCGGTCTGAATGGGACGAGGATCCTGGGGATGAAACACTGCTCTTATTTGTCTGGACACCTGAGAGAGATTGGGCTCTCACCTTGCTCTCCTTCCACACAGCCTGGAGCTGGGGAGATTACATCTGATACTGAGTCACTACTCCCTGGAGGAAGTTAATTAATGCCTAAATATTTACCGAGTGTCTGCTGGGGCAGTGCAGAGCACAGCTATGGCTGCCTGGGGCTTGGACTCTTGTCAAACCCAGGTGGTGTCAG